CTCTCATCCTCTGCACTGCTGGAGGACTCGGCTCCTTCCTCTATAACTCTCCTCTCCTGAAATACTCTGCACTGCTGGAGGACTCCGCTCCTTCCTCTATAACTCTCCTCTCCTGAAATACTCTGCACTGCTGGAGGACTCCGCTCCTTCCTCTATAACTCACCTCTCCTGAAATACTCTGCTGGAGGACTCCGCTCCTTCCTCTATAACTCCTCTCCTGAAATACTCTGCACTGCTGGAGGACTCGGCTCCTTCCTCTATCACTCTCCTCTCATCCTCTGCACTGCTGGAGGACTCCTCTCCTTCCTCTATCACTCTCCTCTCATCCTCTGCACTGCTGGGAATGCGGAGTTGCTCCCTATGTTGGGATCACACACACAATACACACATATATGAAGGAAGGTCGGACACATTGGAGGAGGAAGCTCTTCTATTTAATAAGAAATGTTGCTTTCAGTGACACATTGTTACATTGTACAGATACGACTTGTGTGTGAAGGGAACAGCAAGGTACAGTTCTACTGATCACTGTCAGTGATAAACCGTATTGAGAACATCTTTTAACCCACACTCAATGAAATCTTATGCGTATAGCTCCGCCCTTTTAATAAACCTGATTGTTTAATTCAGGGATCAAATCAACAACTTTTATACAGTATTTGTTCCTTTTCATTTTCTTTTACACTCGAGAAAGCTTTTAAATAATAGACGGTGTGCAGAGATACATAGTAACATTGTCCTTCATTCCTTCATGATTGAAACATCAGCCAACGTGTTTCGGGGGTCTGAGCGCTCCTTCTTCAAGCCTTGGAGGTTGTATTCTGTATCTAAGATGTATCAAAACGTTTTGCTGCTGGATCCTTTTCAGATATTCTATCACATACATAAACTTCATAGAAATCCAGTTTGCTATTTGAGATCGACTTCAGAAGAATATACATAAAATTAAATCCCTGATGGGGGGGGGGGGGGTGTTCAGACCCCAAAACAAATTGGATGTTTTCTTTTTGTTTTGTTCTTTTTTTGTATCTTGTGTGTATTTGATCTTCTTTTTGTATTTAAAGAAAACCCTAATAAAATATATAAAAAAACAAACAAACTGGATGTTTTATTCACTTATTGCTGGGAAATTAAACTTTCCTTGGACTTCTGGTGATCTTTCTCTTTCAGAAAGTGGTTTCCATCACTTCCACACACCATCCAAAAAAAAAAAAAAAAAAAAAACATGGATGTTGGTTATGTATGCGCTTTAAAGTGACCCTGTCGGGGGGGGGGGGGGGTTTAGAAAAAATTCCAAAGGTATTACCTTGTAAAGAAAACAGCTTTAGACTTACCTGTCCATCAGCCAGTTTGAAGGAACTTCACAAGCTAGTCGAACACCCTGTGCCGATTTGTTTGACTCCTCAGGATGGTTCAGTAGCGATTCTCCCCATTGGATGCTGTGGTTCCTCCTGCTGACCCCTGGTCACTGCAGGACACAGTAGTGATGTAGGAGTCATTGGGAGGAACCACAGTAGCCAGCGGGGGGGACATGCTGTTCTACACACCCAGAAGTGCAGGATAGGATCTATCCCAGGAGCTGTGCTACAGAGCAAATTGTCTGCAAACTGGCCGACGGACAGGTAAGTATGAAGATCTTTTTATCACAGGGTTCTGTTTTTTTTACTTTTTCTACACCCCTGATAGGGTCACCTTAACATCCTGCTTGTTGCTGTGTAGTAACTGTAGACACATGGGTGTAAAGACAACTGTAGTCAGCTATAGACGCACACACCCCTTCTATACCATTTCTCATTGAGAACAAATGGACACTTCTAGAACCTGTCCAGGTCTCCTGGAGCAAAACACAAATACTATTTAAAAGGTTGTTGATTTTGGAGCCCTGCCTCACAATATGAGCGCAATCAGGAAGGCGGATTTGTATTTCTAGGCAGCATTTTCCCAGAAGTCCTAGCAAAAGCCATGCAAGCAGTGTATGGGGTTAAGTCAGCACCAGGTAATAAAGCTGTAACAGTAATTTATATCGAGCACTGTCGATGATAACGATTACATTGTCCTAGACGGAGATAATGGTAAGGTGGTAAAGTGAAGAACAGCCAGCGGTCATGATATCTCAAAGGGGCCTATTTATAAAAGTTTAAAGCTGAAATGTAATCAATATGCTAATAAAAATAAAAAAAAACTTTCTATTTGCATCTCATACGTTACTTTATTCACTAGGTTCCATCATTGTTTGACCAAATATGAGCAGAACCGAACATGACCTCCTGTAATTTTCAGCCTCTCCAGTGGTGAAGAAGACACCAGCTCTATCGGGGAGGTCAGAGGAGAATGGCCAGTTGTGTCCAAGCTGTAAGAAGGTGCTGTGCACGAGACCATCCAGGGGTGGATTGAAATCCCTTGGCCTGGGGCACAAACACAACATACTGGTCCCTTCGCGTTTGTGGGCTAATACACATTGAGGGACATGGTGTCACTGAGATTGGGGAAAGGTAGATGTCGTTAAAAGACATGGCTTATAACATCTTCTAGCATTGACTTCCTTTGTGGTTCTTGGTATTTAGTCACATGACGTAAGATGGTCCTGGAAGACTTCCCTCTGCCGGATTGCAGGTCAAAATGTGGAGCAGCATGGCTAGCGTGTGGCCAGTCCTGCTCTTATCAATGGAAAAATGGTGAAGTATCTGAACTTGGGTCCACCAGACTAGCATATCTTACTAGTACTGGCGAAATCTCTCTCGTCCAGTCCTCCCCTAAAGTCATCTGAAAACACACAATAAGGGGAACCTTGAAGAGCAAAGGACTACTGAACCAGAAGACCAGACCATCCCGGGGTCCTCGGGCATTGACTTCCTTTACGGTTCTTGGTATTTAGTCACATCTCAGAGCCACGAAGTAAGATGGTGCTGGAAGACTTCCCTCTGCCGGATTGCAGGTTAGAATGTGGAGCAGTATGGCTAGCATGTGGCCGGTCCTGCTCTTATCAATGGAAAAATGGTGAAGTGTCTGAACTTAGGTCCACCAGACCAGCATATCTTACTAGTAATGGTGAAAGCTCTCTAGTCCAGTCCTCCCCTAAAGTCATCTGAGAACACACAATAAGGGGAACCTTGAAAAGCAAAGGACTACTGGACAAGAAGACCAGACCAGCCCGGGTCCTTTTATGTCCAACAAAAATGAGTATGTGAAGCTACAATAGATACAGGATCATCAAAATTAGTGAACAAAAGATTGCAGAACTGTTGCCTCCTCTGACAATCTTGCTACCTACAATATGCAGATGGTAGGGCCAAAACTTGATTAGAATTCATGGAACCTATCCTATTTCATGGCGGTCCTTTAAGAAAGGCTGAGCATCATATTAATTATATAATGTACACAAGTATTGCTGTTCACCATGTAAAACCCTTTATGGGTACTAGGTAGGTGAACCTAATGTAGTGCCCTCTGGTGTACATAGTTCTTGAAAGTAGTTAGAGGCTTGCTAGAAGTTTGGATTTAGACAGAGGGTTACTTCAGGTCAAGCTGGTGGGCTCTACAGATCAGCCTTCTGGTACCTCCCCCTGCTCTAAGAGCTTGGAGAACCTTCTAGAAGTCAGTAGGTGAAGGTAAGGAAGGGCTGATCTGCATATCTATGGGAGTCTGACCAATCCTAGGCAGGAGGCCTGGCAGTGTCGTAGACCAGCCCATAAATATCACAGAGCCTGGCTAGCAGGGGAGTCTGGTGGAAGGAGTGCTGCTGTGTAGCTGGGGAGCCCTGGAGAAGGAGGGTTCTGCCTCCAGGCTGGAAGTTGGAGGAAAGCTGAAAGAGGAAGCTTCACTGTCCTGTAGTGGGCATAGCTTGGAGAGGAACCAGCCCAGTGGAAGGCTGGAAAGCAGTGCTATCCATAGCTTCAGAAGAAGGACAGTGTGAGCACCTCTACACCCACAGGGTCTATAAGTAAGACGTCTGCTGGATGCAAGTTCTTGGGAAGAATTCAGGGGAAAAGGTCATAGCTTACCTAATCCCTTGTACTGGGATCTGATACCATAGCCAGGAGGGCTGGTATTTTGTTCACTTAGGGGACTATGAGCTCCTACAAGTTGGGACTAAAAATCCACTCAAGGGGACTCAGAGCTCCTGCAAGCTGTCACTTTGCTAAATACAGTCATGGTTCCAGCTGGAACACAGTCACATAACTGCCATTTTTGTAGCAGTTTAGAGAAGGAAATTGCCCTCATTTGTTGTTCTTCAATCACGTTGGGCATCCCAGATCCCTCTTACCCTATCCAAGTTAAATTCCCTAATAAAAATAAAAGCCCAAGCCCATGGCCTGTTACTTGCGTCTGGAAAATACATGTTACCTGGCTGTGCAGGAAGTAAAGGAGGACCCAAAACCAGCGGTTCTCAAGAGGGTATCCCGACACTAATAAGTGCCAATTGTGGGAATTTTTCAAATGGACTCTAAAACTTTATCCTTATTTTGTATAGAGTTTAAACCAACCTAAACCAGGAGGAAAACTAGGAATGGAGTTTTTGGAACTGTGATGTTTTTTCTTCCACCTTGCACAAGTTTTGCACCTCTCTATTTATAGATTTTGGAATGAGACAAAAGTGTTGCGCCAGATTTAAAAAAAAATGTGAAAAAATGTGAAACAATTATTTGGTGGATATTTATGAATAGGCCCCTTTAAGTAGTCCTTCCCAAAATTTAAAGCAAAAGCTGCTCAAGCAAGAAGTGGGTCCAGTTAGCACCGGGTAATTAAGTCATAACAGTAATTTATAGCGAGCCCTGTCGCTGATAAACGTTACTTCGTCCTGGCACTTGCCTATAGCAAAGCAGCAGCAACATGACGAGCAGCCAGCAGATACAAAAAAAGACAAAACGTTTATAGTGATCACTGTCACTGATAAATTATGAAGACATAAGCAGCTCTGTGACTGGCTGGCAGATGAGATGTAGAAAATGTCCAGCATTGAGCTCCAGCAGCCTAGAGGTGCGTAGAGGAGCTCCCTGGATCTAGAAATTCCTTTGGACTTCCCAAACCTCCCCGCTCAAGGCATTGGCTGCTCCCACCAGGGTCCAAGTGAAGAGGGCGATCTGCTTGTGCACCTCACTGCTGTCAATTTGGTCCCGGCCAAGCTGTTCCATCAAGGCTTCTAGGGTGTGCTCGCCTCGCCCAATGAGGATATGGCGGTACGGGTAATTGATGGCGGACACATACTGGGACAGGAAGTAGAATTCCACCTTCAAGAGAAAAACATCAGAGTACATAATATGACTTCAAATGCTATTAAAAACTATTAAAAATGGCACACTTCCTCTCCTTGAGGCCTACTTCCTGATAATACATAGATTTTTCAGTTTTAATCTATTGAGTTGATGAAACATTAATCTGTCCATTTTGGCCTCCTAAATTGGTAATCCGTTGACCTGTTCATTTTGGTCTCCTAAATTGGTATACCATTGATCTTTCCATTTTGGCCTCCTAATATGGTAATACGCTGATCTGTCCATTTTGGCCTCCTAAGTTTCTAATCCATTGATCTGTCCATTTTGGCTTCCTATATTGGTAATACATTGATCTGTCCATTTTGGCCTCCTAAATTGGTAATCTGTTGATCTGTCCATTTTGGTCTCCTAAATTGGTAATCCGTTGATTTGTCCATTTTGACCTCCTAAATTGGTAATCCTTTGATTTGTCCATTTTGGCATCCTAAATTTCTAATCCATTGATCTGTCCATTTTGGCCTCCTAAAATTGGTAATCCATTTCTCTGTCCATTTTAGCCTCCTCAGTTGGTAATCTGTTGATCTGTCCATTTTGGCCTCCTAAGTAGATAATCCATTGATCTGTCAATTTTGGCCTCCTAAATTGGTATCTGTTGATCTATCCATTTTGGTCTCCTTAATTGGTTATACGTTGCTCTTTACAATTTAGCCTCTTGAATTGATGATATATTGATCTGCCCTTGGTAACGTGTTTGTCTGCCCATTATGTACTGTATGGGGTGAATTTAAGAGGTCAAAATGGACAGATCAATGTGCTATCAGTAAACAGGCCTCAAGAAGTGGAGGTGGCAGGCATTGAGCAGTTATACAGGGAGAGACGCCATTACTCACCCTCATGATCCTCACGTTGAAGAACTGGATCATCCTCTCGTTGTGGAGGTCCGAATGTCCAATTGCCTTCTTCAGTCTGTCCGTTGCTCGTGCATAGTCCCCTCGTGCAGAATACAACCAGGAAAGGGTCAAACCTCGTGGCTGAAATACACATACAGCATTATGGTAACCCATTGTCCAGTGTGACTGTCAATGTGTGGTCACACGACCATCCTGTAGGAGGACAAACTGACTGAACCATTAAGTGTGCCATTCTTCCCCATGACCCCCATTACTGGAAGCACAGATCAAACATTAGAAGGCTCACCTCTAGTTTGCTGGTGTACTTTTTCAGACTGATCAGATGCTCCAGGAGCAGCGTGTTATAGGCTGTGTAGTCCAGTGGAAGGATTCGGTCATGGGAAAGTTTCATCAGAGACAGTCCAGCGGCCTGTGCCAATGTCAGAGCCACTGCCGGTAGACGACCGTCCATAATACTGTTCAGGTTTTCATACGTGTCCATCTTGGTGTCCAGATACTTGTATGGGTTTGATCGCTGGAAGAAAAGGCCAGCATGAGTACTGTGGAGCCAAACGTTGTCTACAATTTATAAATACACAAATGATCTTAACCGGATTAAAATGGTAAAAGTTGTGGGACTGGGTGGAGGAGGTTGTCACAGTATTCCGAGAATACAGCAGAGTGGGTGGAGGAGGTTGTCACAGTATTCCGAGAATACAGCAGAGTGGGTGGAGGAGGTTGCAGTAATATTCCGAGAATACAGCAGAGTGGGTGGAGGAGGTTGTCACAGTATTCCGAGAATACAGCAGAGTGGGTGGAGGAGGTTGTCACAGTATTCCGAGAATACAGCAGAGTGGGTGGAGGAGGTTGCAGCAATATTCCGAGAATACAGCAGAGTGGGTGGAGGAGGTTGCAGCAATATTCCGAGAATACAGCAGAGTGGGTGGAGGAAGTTGCAGCAATATTCCGAGAATACAGCAGAGTGGGTGGAGGAAGTTGCAGCAATATTCTGAGAATACAGCAGAGTGGGTGGAGGAGGTTGCAGCAATATTCCGAGAATACAGCAGAGTGGGTGGAGGAGGTTGCAGCAATATTCCGAGAATACAGCAGAGTGGGTGGAGGAAGTTGCTGCAATATTTCAAGAATACAGCAGAGTGGGTGGAGGAGGTTGCAGCAATATTCTGAGAATACAGCAGAGTGGGTGTGGAGGAGGTTGCAGCAATATTCCGAGAATACAGCAGAGTGGGTGGAGGAGGTTGCAGCAATATTCCGAGAATACAGCAGAGTGGGTGGAGGAGGTTGCAGCAATATTCCGAGAATACAGCAGAGTGGGTGGAGGAGGTTGCCGCAATATTCCAAGAATACAGCAGAGTGGGTGGAGGAGGTTGTCGCAATATTCCGAGAATACAGCAGAGTGGGTGGAGGAGGTTGTCGCAATATTCCGGGAATACAGCAGAGTGGGTGGAGGAGGTTGCAGCAATATTCCGAGAATACAGCAGAGTGGGTGGAGGAGGTTGTCGCAATATTCCGGGAATACAGCAGAGTGGGTGGAGGAGGTTGCAGCAATATTCCGAGAATACAGCAGAGTGGGTGGAGGAGGTTGCCGCAATATTCCAAGAATACAGCAGAGTGGGTGGAGGAGGTTGCAGCAATATTCCGGGAATACAGCAGAGTGGGTGGAGGAGGTTGCAGCAATATCCAAGAATACAGCAGAGTGGGTGGAGGAGGTTGCAGCAATATTCCAAGAATACAGCAGAGTGGGTGGAGGAGGTTGCAGCAATATTCCGAGAATACAGCAGAGTGGGTGGAGGAGGTTGCAGCAATATTCCGGGAATACAGCAGAGTGGGTGGAGAAGGTTGCAGCAATATTCCGGGAATACAGCAGAGTGGGTGGAGGAGGTTGCAGCAATATTCCGGGAATACAGCAGAGTGGGTGGAGGAGGTTGCAGCAATATTCCGAGAATACAGCAGAGTGGGTGGAGGAAGTTGCTGCAATATTTCAAGAATACAGCAGAGTGAGTGGAGGAAGTTGCAGCAATATTTCAAGAATACAGCAGAGTGGGTGGAGGAGGTTGCAGCAATATTCCGAGAATACAGCAGAGTGGGTGGAGGAAGTTGCTGCAATATTTCAAGAATACAGCAGAGTGGGTGGAGGAGGTTGCAGCAATATTCCGAGAATACAGCAGAGTGGGTGGAGGAGGTTGCAGCAATATTCCAAGAATACAGCAGAGTGGGTGGAGGAGGTTGCAGCAATATTCCGAGAATACAGCAGAGTGGGTGGAGGAAGTTGCTGCAATATTCCAAGAATACAGCAGAGTGGGTGGAGGAGGTTGCAGCAATATTCCGAGAATACAGCAGAGTGGGTGGAGGAGGTTGCAGCAATATTCCGAGAATACAGCAGAGTGGGTGGAGGAGGTTGCAGCAATATTCCGGGAATACAGCAGAGTGGGTGGAGGAGGTTGCAGCAATATTCCGAGAATACAGCAGAGTGGGTGGAGGAGGTTGCAGCAATATTCCGGGAATACAGCAGAGTGGGTGGAGAAGGTTGCAGCAATATTCCGGGAATACAGCAGAGTGGGTGGAGGAGGTTGCAGCAATATTCCGGGAATACAGCAGAGTGGGTGGAGGAAGTTGCTGCAATATTTCAAGAATACAGCAGAGTGGGTGGAGGAGGTTGCAGCAATATTCCGAGAATACAGCAGAGTGGGTGGAGGAGGTTGCAGCAATATTCCGAGAATACAGCAGAGTGGGTGGAGGAGGTTGCAGCAATATTCCAAGAATACAGCAGAGTGGGTGGAGGAGGTTGCAGCAATATTCCGAGAATACAGCAGAGTGGGTGGAGGAGGTTGCAGCAATATTCCGAGAATACAGCAGAGTGGGTGGAGGAGGTTGCAGCAATATTCCGAGAATACAGCAGAGTGGGTGGTGGAGGTTGCAGCAATATTCCGAGAATACAGCAGAGTGGGTGGAGGAGGTTGCAGCAATATTCCGAGAATACAGCAGGGTGGGTGGAGGAGGTTGCAGCAATATTCCGGGAATACAGCAGAGTGGGTGGAGGAGGTTGCAGCAATATTCCGAGAATACAGCAGAGTGGGTGGAGGAGGTTGCAGCAATATTCCGAGAATACAGCAGAGTGGGTGGAGAAGGTTGCAGCAATATTCCGGGAATACAGCAGAGTGGGTGGTGGAGGTTGCAGCAATATTCCGAGAATACAGCAGAGTGGGTGGAGGAGGTTGCAGCAATATTCCGAGAATACAGCAGAGTGGGTGGAGGAGGTTGCAGCAATATTCCGGGAATACAGCAGAGTGGGTGGAGGAGGTTGCAGCAATATTCCGAGAATACAGCAGAGTGGGTGGAGGAGGTTGCAGCAATATTCCGAGAATACAGCAGAGTGGGTGGAGGAGGTTGCAGCAATATTCCGAGAATACAGCAGAGTGGGTGGAGGACATCCTTTAGCTCTTTCCTTCCAGCTTGATTGACCCTGGACCAAGGGTGGACTGACAACTCATGGGGCCCCCGGGCAATAGGGGATGATGGGGCCCCTGTGTCCTTGCCCAAACTCAAAAAAGCCTATGAAAGGTACCAGGGGCATCTCATGGGACCCCCTACTGACCCTGGGTCCACGGGCAGTGCCCGGGTTTCCAAATGGTCAGTCCACCCCTGCCCTGGACCTCCCTTTCCATTCATTGGGTTTCAGTGCTTTCAATCCTGGAGGCCTAGCGTAACATGAAGGAGTTACCATAGGTGGCCCTCCTAGGAATGTCCATTCCTCCAGACTGAAACCCACCCATCAAGGCATTGATAAGTCCTCCCAAGAGCCAGCCTACAGTTGCATCATGGCTGAAGACTCTTAAGAGCAGAACTGAGGCAGGGTGCTTCGATGTTTTCAGGAACCTACGAAGAACACCCTGCTGGTCCCTCCCACCAGCCATGATCTGCTTGTATTGCATAGAGAAGAACAGAGACCCAATGATGATGTCACTGGGTGTAATGAAATAGGAAAGCACATTAAACTTCAGATTTAAGTGTTTGTATTAGAGTAAAGTGTATATCACACCAAAAATATTTTTGTTCTAGATTTTCAGTACCCACAACAAATATACTGACAGCAGGGCGTCACGATAAGAGTACCTCCACAAATGAGAACTCCAGCGCAGGAACTCCGGCAAAGGCAGTGAAGGCAAAGCTGCCCGTATCCCATGGCCAGTGGGGCAAATCTGAGGATAAAAAGTACAAAAATAAGGGTCAGAGACTGCTATTGTTACTGTTACTCTGTGACCAGAGACTGCTGTTATTACTGTTACTCTGTGTGCAGAGACTGCTGTTATTACTGTTACTCTGTGTGCAGAGACTGCTGTTATTACTGTTACTCTGTGTGCAGAGACTGCTGTTATTACTGTTACTCTGTGTGCAGAGACTGCTGTTATTACTGTTACTCTGTGTGCAGAGACTGCTATTATTACTGTTACTCTGTGTGCAGAGACTGCTATTATTACTGTTACTCTGTGTGCAGAGACTGCTATTATTACTGTTACTCTGTGTGCAGAGACTGCTGTTATTACTGTTACTCTGTGTGCAGAGACTGCTGTTATTACTGTTACTCAGTGTGCAGAGACTGCTATTGTTACTGTTACTCTCTGTGTGCAGAGACTGCTATTATTACTGTTACTCTGTGTGCAGAGACTGCTATTGTTACTGTTACTCTGTGTGCAGAGACTGCTGTTATTACTGTTACTCTGTGTGCAGAGACTGCTATTGTTACTGTTACTCTGTGTGCAGAGACTGCTGTTATTACTGTTACTCTGTGTGCAGAGACTGCTATTGTTACTGTTACTCTGTGTGCAGAGACTGCTGTTATTACTGTTACTCTGTGACCAGAGACTGCTGTTATTACTGTTACTCTGTGTGCAGAGACTGCTATTGTTACTGTTACTCTGTGTGCAGAGACTGCTATTGTTACTGTTACTCTGTGTGCAGAGACTGCTATTGTTACTGTTACTCTGTGTGCAGAGACTGCTGTTATTACTGTTACTCTGTGTGCAGAGACTGCTATTGTTACTGTTACTCTGTGTGCAGAGACTGCTATTGTTACTGTTACTCTGTGTGCAGAGACTGCTGTTATTACTGTTACTCTGTGTGCAGAGACTGCTGTTATTACTGTTACTCTGTGTGCAGAGACTGCTATTATTACTGTTACTCTGTGTGCAGAGACTGCTGTTATTACTGTTACTCTGTGTGCAGAGACTGCTATTATTACTGTTACTCTGTGTGCAGAGACTGCTGTTATTACTGTTACTCTGTGTGCAGAGACTGGTACAATTACAGTGGTACTCCCGCTCCAGACACTTGTCAGTCACTTACACCTCTGATTTCCTGTTCCCGTACGATTTTGCATTTTCATAGATGCTTTGCTTGCTCTGACGCGGGTTGTCTACCTGGAAGAGACAGAAGGAAAGTGAAGAATGACTTTGTCCCTGTATATTGTGACCTATCAGGAATGGAGTGATGAAGGCTTGTAGGTAATGAAAGGTCCACTTCAAGGAGTATGGAGACGTAGGGAGGAAGGAGATGATGGCATGGAGGACAGGAGGTCATTGCACGTGCTTGAAGGTCTCCACCAATAATCATCTGGAGGTCACCAGTTCTGGTGGTGTGGGTATCTTTTCTCCACCAATATTTATTTGGAGGTCACAAGTTCTGGTGGTGTGGGTATCTTTTCTCCACCAATAATCATCTGGAGGTCACCAGTTCTGGTGGTGTGGGTATCTTTTTCTCCACCAATAATCATCTGGAGGTCACCAGTTCTGGTGGTGTGGGTATCTTTTCTCCACCAATAATCATCTGGAGGTCACCAGTTCTGGTGGTGTGGGTATCTTTTCTCCACCAATAATCATCTGGAGGTCACCAGTTCTGGTGGTGTGGGTATCTTTTCTCCACCAATAATCATCTGGAGGTCACCAGTTCTGGTGGTGTGGGTATCTTTTCTCCACCAATAATCATCTGGAGGTCACCAGTTCTGGTGGTGTGGGTATCTTTTCTCCACCAATATTTATTTGGAGGTCACAAGTTCTGGTGGTGTGGGTATCTTTTCTCCACCAATAATCATCTGGAGGTCACAAGTTCTGGTGGTGTGGGTATCTTTTCTCCACCAATAATCATCTGGAGGTCACTAATTCCGGTGGTGTGGGTATCTTTTCTCCACCAATATTTATTTGGAGGTCACAAGTTCTGGTGGTGTGGGTATCTTTTCTCCACCAATAATCATCTGGAGGTCACCAGTTCTGGTGGTGTGGGTATCTTTTCTCCACCAATATTTATTTGGAGGTCACAAGTTCTGGTGGTGTGGGTATCTTTTCTCCACCAATAATCATCTGGAGGTCACTAATTCCGGTGGTGTGGGTATCTTTTCTCCACCAATATTATTTTGGAGGTTAGTCATTTCGGTGGTGTGGGTATCTTTTCTCCACCAATAATTATTTGGAGGTCACCAATTCCGGTGGTGTGGGTATCTTTTCTCCACCAATAATTATTTGGAGGTCACAAGTTCTGGTGGTGTGGGTATCTTTTTCTCCACCAATATTTTTTTGGAGGTCACTAATTCTGGTGGTGTGGGTATCTTTTCTCCACCAATAATTATTTGGAGGTCACTAATTCTGGTGGTGTGGGTATCTTTTCTCCACCAATATTTGCAGACACTGGGATGGTCTCCATGTGTACATGGTGAACTATGATCATAGACATTATATATATCTCATTTCCCAGATGTCACCACAGCCAATCAGGAGAGGATACAGTCACAACCAGTCCTCTTCACTGAGCCGCCTTGGCTGCCCCCTGTGCAGGAGAGGAGTACACAGACTCTTCTCCACCCTTAGCTGTGTCCTCTCCTCCACTCACCTGTTTGATGATATTCTCTATTAGGGTCCTGAACATGGGGCTGGACTTCGCTACAAACTTTTCATCACCTGAAAGAATGAAAGAGGTCATGTGACACGGTCCATTCCACGCCATTTATGGCAAACGGCGGTCACTTCCATTTCAACAACAATTTAAAGGTTCAATCCACCAAAGTGTGAAAGGTGGGCGGTGTTACCTAGAAGGGGGGTGTCCAGGCTCATGTATGTGGCGGCCTTGAGGTGCAGCATGCTGAGGTACCCCTGCAATGTAACAACAGTGCGTTACAATGTATTATTAGAGGGATACAATGTATTATTAGATGAATACAATGTATTATTAGATGGATACAATGTATTATTAGAGGGATACAATGTATTATTAGAGGGATACAATGTATTATTAGAGGGATACAATGTATTATTAGAGGGATACAATGTATTATTAGATGAATACAATATATTATTAGATGGATACAATGTATTATTAGATGGATACAATGTATTATTAGAGAGATACAATGTATTATTAGATGGATACAATGTATTATTAGATGAATACAATATATTATTAGATGGATACAATGTATTATTAGAGGGATACAATGTATTATTAGATGAATACAATGTATTATTAGAGGGATACAATGTATTATTAGATGAATACAATATATTATTAGATGGATACAATGTATTATTAGATGAATACAATGTATTATTAGAGGGATACAATATATTATTAGATGGATACAATGTATTATTAGATGGATACAATGTATTATTAGAGGGATACAATGTATTATTAGATGGATACAGTGAATTATTAGATGGATACAATATATTATTAGAGGGATACAATGTATTATTAGATGGATACAATATATTATTAGAGGGATACAATGTATTATTAGAGGGATACAATGTATTATTAGATGAATACAATATATTATTAGCGGGATACAATGTATTATTAGATGGATACAATGTATTATTAGAGGGATACAATGTATTATTAGATGAATACAATGTATTATTAGAGGGATACAATATATTATTAGAGGGATACAATGTATTATTAGAGGGATACAATGTATTATTAGATGGATACAATGTATTATTAGATGGATACAATGTATTATTAGAGGGATACAATGTATTATTAGATGGATACAATGTATTATTAGAGGGATACAATATATTATTAGAGGGATACAATGTATTATTAGAGGGATACAATGTATTATTAGAGGGATACAATGTATTATTAGATGGATACAATGTATTATTAGAGGGACACAATATATTATAGATGGATACAATGTATTATTAGAGGGATACAATGTATTATTAGATGGATACAATGTATTATTAGATGGATACAATGTATTATTAGAGGGATACAATATATTATTAGAGGGATACAATGTATTATTAGAGGGATACAATGTATTATTAGAGGGATACAATGTATTATTAGATGGATACAATGTATTATTAGAGGGACACAATATATTATTAGATGGATACAATGTATTATTAGAGGGACACAATATATTATTAGAGGGATACAGTGAATTATTGGAGGGATACAATGTATTATTATATATCATGAGGTCTCTCACCTCCAGCCATTCTGTGGCTCCAATACTTCCAAAATCTCCTCCGTCCCAACTCACAAACAGAATACTGCGCCGAGGCTGGAACCCTGGAACACATATGGAACATTACTATATGGAACTCCGACCTTCCCTCCAGTCTTGCACAGTTGCCCTGCCCAATCAGCAACAGCTGGGCCATTCTCCACCCATCAGCTGTACATGGACAAATAAGAGGGGATGCTTGTGATATCAATGACCTAATCTTAGCCATATGGTCATATGAGGTCAATGATGTCACAAGCAGGGGCGGACTGACCATTTGGAAACTCGGGCACTGCCTGAGGGCCCGGGGTCAGTAGGGGGGCCCCATGAGATGCCCCTGGTACCTTTTTCATAGGCTTTTTTGATTTTGGGCAAGGACACAGGGGCCCCATGATCCCCTATTGCCCGGGGGGCCCCATGAGTTGTCAGTCCGCCCCTGGTCACAAGCATCCCTGCCCACTTTGTGTACATGCGGCCGTTGGGTGGGGCAGCCACAGTTCTGAACACATACCAATGCCTACTTACCCTAACCTGCCTTGTTTGTACATATTTAAGTGTTCCTGCATGGCGACCACTTCCTGTTATCTCACATATATATTCTTATTATTATAGCCAAATTTACCCCCCTAACTCCTCCCACAGTTTTTACACTACATAGACAGTAATATACGGAAACGTGCGGATTGTTCCCGATTGGTGTGCTATTACTTTGTGGAACATTTCGCCAAATAGTTCATGAAATATCAACGTTTTTGTGGTGAAATTGGTCCCATAGGAATGAATGGCGGAATGTTCAAAACTAGAGTTGGAGCTGACAAAAGCTAGAGTGTGAGCTGAAAAATCAGGACATGATTTCTAAACTGCCATCACTCCCTCATTTTGAAGCCCACCTACACAAATCTTGTATCAACACGTTCAGCTATCCCTGCTGCCACTAAAAATGTCCACGGCTAAGCCATAGTCCTGATAGTTTTCACAATATGACCATTTGTTTGCAACTCACCCCTCCCATTGACATTTATTGAAACTGCACTCTAGCCACCTCAAATTTGAAGGGCAATTTCTAACCTGCAACTGTGCCTTCATTTTTAATAATTCAGAGACATACTATGCATCAAAATGTAGGTCTGGGTCTTGTGATTCTCACAATATAAAGCTCTTCCATGTAGAATTTATAATTTTTAAACTACAACCGTTTGAAGATGGCAACCGCCAGTGAAGTGAGCAAGTTGGAGCAGTTTGTTTTTAACCGCTCTTCTCTGCCCTTGCTGTAGAGTGAGTTGCCATAGGAACCCAGGTGTGTGAGCAGCCAGCAGAGTGACAAAAGCTAGAGTGTGAGCTGAAAAATAAAAGTTGAAATACATTTCTCACTCTATCAAGCTTGCCATGGGCACTTTTTACATTTGATCAATCAATTGGTTAGTGTAATGTTTACTATCTTTACTCACTCCAAACACTCCACACAGTTACTCCGCCCACTCCAAGAAGTTACTCCGCCCACTCCATAAAGATAGTCTGCCCAGTCCAACCTTTTCAGAGTTAATCCGCCCACTCCAAGAAGTTACTCCGCCCACTCCATAAAGATACTCTGCCCAGTCCAACCTTTTCACAGTTACTCCAGCCAGTCCAACCACACAACAGTTACCCCGCCCACTCCACCCAGTTACTCCGCCCACTCCACCCAGTTACTCCGCCCACTCCAGTTGTAGACTACTGGTGGAGGCAAGAACACTTCACACAATTTCCCCAGAAATTGGAGCTTTTCTACTTTCCTTCTATAGTTACTATGGTCAGGGCTAAACATTTAGATTAAAAAAATGTTTTTTTACTTTTTGGTGAATATAAAATATTGAACATGCACATTTAGCGTGAGTGCTATGCAGTGACTATTGTATTAAAGGACCAATGTTGTTTTTTATTTTTACACACCAGAGTTGTGTTTGCATTGTAAAATACAAATTGCCCCTAGTGCAGTTCCCTTTAAAAATGCTCTTTGTAAACTATATTGCCCCAAGTATTGGTCGGCCGGCCTTTCCACACACATGACCTTTAATGGCCTCCCAGTCTTAGTCCGTAGGGTTCAATATTGAGTTGGCCCCGCCTTTTCCACACACATGACCTTTAATGGCCTCCCAGTCTTAGTCCGTAGGGTTCAATATTGAGTTGGCCCCGCCCTTTCCACACACATGACCTTTAATGGCCTCCCAGTCTTAGTCCATAGGGTTCAATATTGAGTTGGCCCCGCCCTTTGCAGCTATAACAGCTTCAACTCTTCTGGGAAGGCCGTCTTGGTACGCTGATGCATTAAGAGTTCCCTTCACTGGAACTAGGGGGCCAAGCCCAACCCCTGAAAAACAACCCCACACCATAATCCCCCTCCACTAAACTTTACACTTGGCACAATGCAGTCAGGCAAGTACCGTTCTCCTGGCAACCGCCAAACCCAGACATGTCCATCGGATTGCCAGACAGAGAAGTGTGATTGGTCACTCCAGAGAACACGTCTCCACTGCTCTAGAGTCCAGTGGCGGCGTGCTTTACACCACGGCATCCGATGCTTTGCATTGCACTTGGTGATGGAAGGCTTGGATGCAGCTGCTCGGCCATGGAAACCCATTCCATGAAGCTCTCTATGCACATTGTTGTTGGGCTCATCTGAAGGCCACACCAAGTTTGGAGGTCTTTAGCTATTGACTCTGCAGACAGTTGGCGACTTCTGCGCACTGTGCGCTTCAGCATGCGCTGACCCCGCCCTGTCATGTGATGTGGCCTACCACTTGGTGGCTGAGTTGCTGTTGTTCCCAGTTGCTTCCACTTTGTTATACTCCCACTAACAGTTGAGCGTGGAATATTTAGTAGCCAGGAAATGTCACGGATGGACTTATTGCCCAGGTGGCCACCTATCACGGGACCACGCTTGGAGTCACTGAGCTCCTGAGAGCGACCCATTCTTTCACCAATGTATGTAGAAGCAGTCTGCATGCCTAGGGGCTTGATTGTATACACCTGTGTCCATGGAAGGGATTGGAACACCTGAATCACATGATATAGAGGGGATTGGAACACCTGAATCACATGATATGGAGGGGATTGGAACACCTGAATCACATGATATGGAGGGGATTGGAACACCTGAATCACATGATTCGGAGGGGATTTGAACACCTGAATCACATGATTTGGAGGGGGTCCCAATACTTTTAGCAATATAGTGTATTTCCTTGTTCCCACACTCTGACCTCATAGTTCTGTGGTGCCCTATACACCAATACTCACCGCTTTGCACCATCATGGTCATTGAACGCATAAGCTCCAACAAGATGGCCGTACCCACTCCGGACTTGGCTGCCCCCGGCCCCCAGGAATCACGTTGGGCACCCACCACGATGTAATGTTCTGAATACATGGAGGAAATGCAGAAGTAAATAGATATAAAGGCAAATAAACAGGCATGCCCCCAGTACCCCTCTAGAACAAAAGAGATAGGTTAAACGATCCTTTTTCTGGATTTGTTATAGCAGTCACATGACCTGGCCACAATATTTGAGGGCTGCGGGCAATGTTGCTAACCTCCCAAAGCATGTGTTTACTGACAAAATATGGAAAATTTACTGACGAAGCCCTTTTTTTTTTTTAATTGACAACCCAAAAAATGACATTAACTTAGACAATCAATATTTAAACAGTATAGCACAATATGAAAACACTGAAAGTACCAAAAAACAAGTAATTTGCCTGGTTTACACGTACAAAAGTCAACACAGCACAATAAATTATCAGCTTCTGATATTTACAGACAGTTGTAAAAGTCACCGATTTGTACATACTGGCCCTAAATTTACTGACGGTTGGCAACCCTGGCTGTGGGCAGGGTCCACAGTGTAGTCACATGCTTGTGGCATCACTGTGGCATCCCATCTCAGCAGAGACAGGGCATGGCCAGGTTGCATTGGCCAAGGTCCACCATCGATGTTGTTGATTTGAGTTTTTTTTTTATCGATTTGCTGGGTCAATCAAATTGGAGCCAATTTGCTCTTCAATAGCTGTCATTTATCATGGTGGATTGTCAAATTCTGCTGGGATTGTTTTGTAATGTTGATGACACGTTGCTGGTTATCCAAGGCTCTTCCTCAACCCTAATAGGTGAGGAACATATCCCAACATCTATACATCCTACTCAGCCATAGTAATGCACTCACCATGGAGTGTGTCAAGGCAGATGTTGATTGTCCAAGAACAGAATAGGAGGTGAGAACATTTTTGAAACCATCCTGTTCTACATTCATAATCCAGGTTCATGGTGCCATGGAGTCTATGTCGGGTGTTAATTCTCTGAGTCACATGGCTGAAGGTATGAGCGGTTGTCAGATCTTCGGGATTGAGGTTGTTCCATTTGGACTTAGATGGCCTCTTTTAGACCTACTGAGAATCACTTGACCCATCTATACAAATTGTGCACTTCACTGGACTCAAAGGAATGTCCCTTTTCTATAACATGAGAAGCTGGTGAGTCCTGAACTGAAGAACTTGCCCTCCTACAATGGGCCATCCATTGGTTGGGGGGGGGGGGGGTTGTTTTGTCTTCCCAATGTACAGGTTTTTGTATTCCTCTACACTGCAGGTACCAAGTCTTTTGGATGTACACGGCTCCATCTCAATGTATTGCTGAGCTTGAAAGATGTTGAAAAACTTTTTATGACACTCCAGCCACATTGGGGACGACTATATTACTTTGTGTGTGTCCAGATATTTAACTTGAATGATTGACACATGCCCCAGACTTCATACAAGTGTTTGGATTATGTCATTGGAACAGGGTGGTGTCACAAATCTTCACACCTCCCGTCATGTTCTTGAGCAGTCCACATCTTCCTTGACACATTTCAGAGTTACCCCTGTTATTCATAAAGTAGGGTATGCTCCTGACACTCATTACAGCTGAGGAACCTGTTTGGATGATCAGTGAACTGTCTTTACCATTAACTATGTATACCCAAAAAAACATAATCTAAGTACACAGAACATACGTAGTCCCTCTCCCCCCGCTCCCTCCATAAGTACTGTCAAATGACAGCCAGGACTTGCTGAGTCTTATTGTCAAATGACAGCCGGGACTTGCTGAGTCTTATTGTCAGATGACAGCCGAGACTTGCTGAGTCTTATTGTCAAATGACAGCCGGGACTTGCTGAGTCTTATTGTCAGATGACAGCCGAGACTTGCTGAGTCTTATTGTCAAATGACAGTTGGGACTTGCTGAGTCTTATTGTCAGATGACAGCCAGGACTTGCTGAGTCTTATTGTCAAATGACAGCCAGGACTTGCTGAGTCTTATTATCAAATGACAGTTGGGAATTGCTGAGTCTTATTGTCAGATAACAGCCGGGACTTGCTGAGTCTTATTATCAAATGACAGTTGGGAATTGATGAGTCTTATTGTCAGATAACAGCCGGGACTTGCTGAGCCTTAATTGTTTAGATGACAGCCGGGACTTGCTGAGTCTTATTGTCAAATGACAGCCAGGACTTGCTGAGTCTTATTGTCAGATGACAGCCAGGACTTGCTGAGTCTTATTATCAAATGACAGTTGGGTATTGCTGAGTCTTATTGTCAGATAACAGCCGGGACTTGCTGAGTCTTATTGTTAAATGACAGCCGGGACTTGCTGAGTCTTATTGTCAGATGACAGCCGGGACTTGCTGAATCTTATTATCAAACGACAGCCAGGACTTGCTGAGTCTTATTGTCAGATGACAGCCAGGACTTGCTGAGTCTTATTATCAAATGACAGTTGGGTATTGCTAAGTCTTATTGTCAGATAACAGCCGGGACTTGCTGAGTCTTATTATCAAACGACAGCCAGGACTTGCTGAGTCTTATTGTCAGATGACAGCCGAGACTTGCTGAGTCTTATTGTCAAATGACAGCCGGGACTTGCTGAGTCTTATTGTCAGATGACAGCCAGGACTTGCTGAGTCTTATTGTCAAATGACAGCCAGGACTTGCTGAGTCTTATTATCAAATGACAGTTGGGAATTGCTGAGTCTTATTGTCAGATAACAGCCGGGACTTGCTGAGTCTTATTATCAAATGACAGTTGGGAATTGATGAGTCTTATTGTCAGATAACAGCCGAGACTTGCTGAGCCTTAATTGTTTAGATGACAGCCGGGACTTGCTGAGTCTTATTGTCAAATGACAGCCAGGACTTGCTGAGTCTTATTGTCAGATGACAGCCAGGACTTGCTGAGTCTTATTATCAAATGACAGTTGGGTATTGCTGAGTCTTATTGTCAGATAACAGCCGGGACTTGCTGAGTCTTATTGTTAAATGACAGCCGGGACTTGCTGAGCCTTATTGTCAGATGACAGCCGGGACTTGCTGAATCTTATTATCAAACGATAGCCAGGACTTGCTGAGTCTTATTGTCAGATGACAGCCAGGACTTGCTGAGTCTTATTATCAAATGACAGTTGGGTATTGCTAAGTCTTATTGTCAGATAACAGCCGGGACTTGCTGAGTCTTATTATCAAATGACAGCCGGGACTTGCTGAGTCTTATTGTCAGATAACAGCCGGGACTTGCTGAGTCTTATTATCAAATGACAGTTGGGAATTGATGAGTCTTATTGTCAGATAACAGCCGGGACTTGCTGAGTCTTATTGTTAAAAATGACAGCCGAGACTTGCTGAGCCTTATTGTCAGATGACAGCCGGGACTTGCTGAGTCTTATTGTCAAAAGACAGCCAGGACTTGCTGAGTCTTATTGTCAGATGACAGCCAGGACTTGCTGAGTCTTATTGTCAAATGACAGCCAGGACTTGCTGAGTCTTATTATCAAATGACAGTTGGGTATTGCTAAGTCTTATTGTCAGATAACAGCCGGGACTTGCTGAGTCTTATTATCAAATGACAGTTGGGAATTGCTGAGTCTTATTGTCAGATAACAGCCGGGACTTGCTGAGTCTTATTGTCAGATAACAGCCGGGACTTGCTGAGTCTTATTACCAAATGACAGTTGGGAATTGATGAGTCTTATTGTCAGATAACAGCCGAGACTTGCTGAGTCTTATTGTCAGATGACAGCCGGGACTTGCTGAGTCTTATTGTCAAACAACAGCCAGGACTTGCTGAGTCTTATTGTCAAATGACAGCCAGGACTTGCTGAGTCTTATTGTCAGATGACAGTCGGGACTTGCTGAGTCTTATTGTCAGATGACAGTCGGGACTTGCTTGCTGAGTCTTATTGTCAGATGACAGTCAGGACTTGCTGAGTCTTATTGTCAGATGACAGCCGGGACTTGCTGAGTCTTATTGTGAAACGACAGCCGTGACTTGCTGAGTTTTATTGTCAAATGACAGTTGGGAATTGCTGAGTCTTATTGTCAGATAACAGCCGGGACTTGCTGAGTCTTATTGTCAGATGACAGCCAGGACTTGCTGAGTCTTATTATCAAATGACAGTTGGGAATTGCTAAGTCTTATTGTCAGATAACAGCCAGGACTTGCTGAGTCTTATTGTCAAACAACAGCCAGGACTTGCTGAGTCTTATTGTCAGATGACAGCCGGGACTTGCTGAGTCTTATTGTCAAACAACAGCCAGGACTTGCTGAGTCTTATTGTCAAATGACAGCCAGGACTTGCTGAGTCTTATTGTCAGATGACAGTCGGGACTTGCTGAGTCTTATTGTCAGATGACAGTCGGGACTTGCTGAGTCTTATTGTCAGATGACAGTCAGGACTTGCTGAGTCTTATTGTCAGATGACAGCCAGGACTTGCTGAGCCTTATTGTCAAATGACAGCCGGGACTTGCTGAGTCTTATTATCAAATGACAGCCGGGAATTGCTAAGTCTTATTGTCAGATAACAGCCAGGACTTGTTGAGTCTTATTGTCAAACGACTGCCGGGACTTGCTGAGTTTTATTGTCAAATGACAGTTGGGAATTGCTGAGTCTTATTATCAAATGACAGTTGGGTATTGCTGAGTCTTATTGTCAGATAACAGCCGGGACTTGCTGAGTCTTATTGTTAAATGACAGCCGGGACTTGCTGAGCCTTATTGTCAGATGACAGCCGGGACTTGCTGAATCTTATTATCAAACGACAGCCAGGACTTGCTGAGTCTTATTGTCAGATGACAGCCAAGACTTGCTGAGTCTTATTATCAAATGACAGTTGGGTATTGCTAAGTCTTATTGTCAGATAACAGCCGGGACTTGCTGAGTCTTATTATCAAATGACAGCCGGGACTTGCTGAGTCTTATTGTCAGATAACAGCCGGGACTTGCTGAGTCTTATTATCAAATGACAGTTGGGAATTGATGAGTCTTATTGTCAGATAACAGCCGGGACTTGCTGAGTCTTATTGTTAAATGACAGCCGAGACTTGCTGA